TATGAGTCGAAGTTTATCTGTTCCTTCTAGAAATAGAAGCGATATCTGGGCCCCTCGATGATTTTGTTGTGACCTATGTACCGGCCGGTCAGAACTGAATTGATGTGTTCGATTAAGTTCTTTGTCAAACAAATCGAAAATCGGGAAACAAACTGCTGGATAATAAGTACGACGTTGTTCCATGTATTTGTCCGGCTGATATCATGAGAACAGAGGATTATATGATCCCTTATCTAATGGACAAGTCATTGACAAGATCAGAGTTCATCTACAAGGTCAGAGTTCGGCAGAATCTTTTGAGAGCTACGATTGCCGGTTGGTTCCTGAAGTCATACGCAATAATAGTTTTAGACTTATCCAAGTGGGAGACTGTTGGATTAATGTCTAAGTCCATAACTATAATTGGTAAGACTTGACCCGACCCGGCATGGTCCATTTGGGTTGCATACCATCATGCACTTGGATAGACTATAACGAGAGAAATAAGACACTTATGGTTATTAATATATTATAAGTTCTAGTATATTAATAATAAGAATAATAAGATTATTTAATTAGTATTGATCAAGAATTAATATAGGATTAATTAAGTGATCAAAAGAAGACTAATTAAATATATGGGTTGATTGTGTAAATCATCCATACTTATATAGTGGGCTAATGCTCCATGGATAATCAAGTTGGGCTAAAACCCATAGGATGGTCCATGGATGCTCCATGGTGTATTTGAACCCATGGATCCAAGGAAATGGAAAGTCATGACAATTAAGGATTTACCCTAATTGTAACACTATATAAAGATATTATTCTTGACAAAATCGGCCACTAGTATTATTCTAGAGAGGGCTAGCCGATTTCATGAAGTGTAGAACTCTCTCAAGTTATTCTAAGTGTTTTGATGATTGTGATTCCATTTGAGGCTTCCACACTATTGGGGCTAGGCACTCAAGCTTCATGAAGACTTTCTACATCAAAGAGGTATGTATTCTATCTTGTTACACTCATTGTTTTGTATGCTAGATTAGGATAATACCTTGTATATTCTTATTTGCATGTATAATAGAGAAAACATAGATCCAAGGTATTTAGGGTTGCATGTACACTTAGGAGTGTTAGAATGCTCAAAACCCAACAACATTGTGGGTTGTAGCAGGAATCGAGTAGAAAGGAATATGTTCCAAAAAAGTAACGTGTCGAGAAACATATAACTTCTGACTCATAGGATCATAGCAACGGTATCCTTTCTGACCAATCCCATATCCCAAAAATACACAAATAGCAGATTTCGGCCCCAACTTGTTCCTTTCAACATGAGGACAAAGAACAAAACAAGTACATCCAAAAACTCGTAAGGAAGAGTAATCTGGTGGAAGACCATATAACTTCTCAAAAGGAGATATTCCTGAATTCAATGAAGTAGGGATACGATTAATCACAAACACAACAGTTAGGACTGCTTCTCCCAAAAGGCACTAGGGACATGCGTAGACAGGAGCAATGAGCGGGCAGTCTCAACAATATGACAATGTTTTCGTTCTGCCACACCGTTTTGCTAAGGTGTGTCAGTACACGAAGACTGGTGTATGGTACCATCAGAGGCAAGTAACTGAGTGAAATAATTAGAGGTATATTCACCCCCTAAGTCACACCCGAAGCACTTAATCACAGCCGAATGTTGAGTTTTAACAAGAGCTCTGAAATTGCTGTAAATACCAAAGAAATCAGATCTGCGTTTCATAAGATAAACCCATGTATATCAAGTATAATCATCTATGAAAGATACATAATAGGTTGACCCACCCTTTGTGGATACTGGTGCAAGACCCCACACATTAGAATAAATAATATCAAAAGGAGTAGTAAAATTAGACATACTTTTATTGAAGGGTAAAGCAGAAAATTTTGCTAGTTTGCAACCACTACAATCAGAAATATCACAAGAGTTTAAATGACCCAAAACACCACTAGATGCTAAGAAATTCAACCGTGATACAGACACATATCCCAAAAAAGAATGCCAAAGATAAAACTCAGACGACAAAGGACTCAAACGAAAAGAAGATAAATCAATGTTGGAAGCAGCAACAACATATAATTTGAAGACCTCCAAGACATATAGTTCCCCCACCCTACGGCCGATCCCAATCACCTTCTGGGTGTGTTGATCATGTATAACACAAACAGAATCAGAAAAGAACACCCAGTTACCAGACTTGCATAACTGATTGGCTGAGGCAAGGTTCAAAGTAAGTTTGGGAATGTAATAAACATCAGGAAGAGTTATATGAGAAATGGAGACAGACTCAACACCCTCAACTAGCATAGATGTATCACTAGCAGACTTAACAGAAATAGATTACACTTGCAACAAAGAAGTAAATGATGACAAATAAGGAATCATATGATGGGTTGCACCAGAATCTAAAATCCACAAAGATGAGGGAATACATGAAGTGTCAGACGAAGAAGGACCAAAATGAGACATAGATGCAGACATGGCAGTGGGATTAGAAGCCAAATACTGTCTAAAGCTCTCAAACACCTTGGGATCCAATGCAGATGGTGGCATATGTCCAACAGATTCTGTGTCAACTGGTGGAACAGCAGCAACAACAAACTGTGGAGGACGAGGGGGTCCATGGAGGAGTACCAGAGGAACCTGACTGATACTTCTGTTAACCAGACCTATTTTGTTGCCCTGACTGAGGTTGACCATATTTACCCTTATCGACTAACCATGGACACTGAGCTTTCCAATGATTTTTCTGTTTGCAGAATGCACACTCATCATAAGCGACTCTTGAAGTTTGTCGAGATTGACTGGAGGAGACACAAAGCACAACAGGAGCGGGAGTAAGAGTAGAGGTTGCTTTAAACCCTTTATTTGCATGGGGACTTGATACGAGTCTCTTCTACAATTAACTCATGGACAACTGAATCAACTGAAGGAAGAGAAGAGTGATGAAGAATTGTTCCACGAAGACCTTCAAAATCAGAACGCAAGGCCATCAAAAACTGAACCAATCATCGTTCTTCCCTCCTAGCAATGTAAGGCTCAAAATCTTTTAACTCTTTAGATTCAGTAAGAGCCAATTGATCCCAGAGATCAGACATAGCAGCATAGAAATCTTGAATGCTCTGGTCATTTTGTTGAAGGGCACGAATATCATATTCCAATTGGTATTGTTTAGCAAAATTCGACTGAGTATACAGTCACTCGAAGTGATTCCAAACTTCCTTTGTTGTATCATACTTAGCCAACTGCATACCAATGGACTGAGTAACAGAGTTATTGATCCAAGTAATAACCTTGGAGTTATCAGTCTCCCAAGCATCAAGCAACATATCATAACTCTCGGTTTGAGGCACTGAGGGTTTGCTTTAGTCCTAGTGACATAGCCCCATATATTCTTCCCACGAAGGAAGTTCTTCATAAGGTAACTCCGATACGTATAATTCTTTCCATCCAAACGAGTACTGATTGACTGAAAGGAATCATCCTTTTCAGTCATGTTGATAGTGAATGAATAACCACAATGACAATATAATAATCTGAGAATGAAAGGAGTAACAAACCAGCGGAAGCAATCACTTGAATTACGAATCAACAACAATTATGAACCAACGGCAACAACAAACCAACAGTAGCAACGAACCGATAGCAACAACGAATCAACAGTAGCAATGAATCAACATATAAAAAAAATTAAAAAAAAAAACGAGTACCAGTGATAATGAACGAAAACGGCATGCTACAGTAACCCTAGAAAAAGTTCAATCTGTGCCATAGATGACTGCTACAAAGACCTCTAACAACGTATCAAACATCTGCTCTGATACCATGATAACATTGTCATATGATTATATCAAAGAGAAATTATAAGGTTTCTCAGAGAAAAGCATTAAGACTACAAGGAATAAAGCGGATATAAATACTAGCTAGACAGAAACCCTAATGGGCTAAAGACAAAAAAGCGCCCATAAACAAGCGAGCTAATAATATAGACTAACATAGGAAACTCCAATATATCACGAGTTAGTGGGTACGTATAAGTTGTTCTAATTAAAGCTAATTGTTTTGTGTAGAGGCCCCTGCAAAACAAAGTTCATGTTACGTTAATCTTTTTGTGCGTGGTGTTGTGGTCGATTTGTAAAGGAATGAACTATCTTATATTCAAGAAGGGAAGGTGCTCGATATACAAATTTTATCATACAATTGGTTCAACCATAGTGTTATATTTAATTTTCTGAATTGAAATTTGTGGTGTTGTTCTCATTTTATAGCTTGTAATTTGTAGCTTGTTTTTGTTTCTACAAACTAGCGTCATGTTAGATCCTTTTGTAATCCGCGGTTCTAAAAAAGACAATGATGAGATATGAGTACCTTCAAAGTTTGAATTGTAGTAATCGATCAACAAACAACACGAGAAGAATAAAACATAATATACAAATTTCTTAGGGCGCGTTTGTTTCACAGAATGTTTTTGAAAGGAATGGAATCTGTCAAAGGAATTGGAATTTAGAGGAATTTGAATCTGAATGTACCAGAAACTTAAATGTGTTTGGTTGACATGGAATGGAATTTGTTTTCTGTTTGGTTTGCTAATTTTCCAACAGAATTGGAAAATAAATTACGTATTATGACAAAAATATCCTTTAATGATTTTTTTGAAGCTTATCATATTGTTTAATAAACATTACTAATTTTCATTTAATTAAAAAAATTGAAATAAAACCATTAAATATAAAAATATAAAGCAACAAATGTCATTCATTATTCTCAAACTAAAATTAAAAAAAAAAAGGTAACCACACACCGGGTAAAATAATGTCTAAATACCTAGTTCATAATCATATCACTCTTCCAACATAAACCTCACAAAGTTCTCCCGATCTTCTCCTTCCAAATTCCAAAAACTTAACACGGTTTCAGGGTCACACATTATTTTCCTACTTACTTTGAACCTATCAAGGCACTTAATGACTGTATTTTTGAAATTTCAGGAATCACCATTGAAGCTTTTCTTTTGCACTTCTGTTTCTCCTAGTATTGCTTGGTTCATGCTATTTGCCATTTTTTCAAGTTTTTCTCCAAGGACGTTAGCTGCAATAGTTATTCCCTTAATAACAGCATCAACTCTTTTCCTCTTCTTTGAGCCCGTGTTTGGAGATTCTTCATTTTCTGTGGTTTGTTCTTCAAAAACATCTTCTATTTGTTCTGATTGTTCTTCATTGGTTGCATCTTCTTCCATTTGGGCAAAATCCTTGGCTTTATTCCCTTGAGCTCTATCCTTTCCAAAAATGATACATAAATCCTCGTAATGAGGAAATATCTCATTTCTCCATTTTCCTGCCTCTTTATGAACCTATTTTGTATCATAAAAGGTTAGCACATAAAAATATAATATAAATAGTTGAGAAGTAACAAAATATATAAAACTTATAATATTGTACCTGTATGTAAGAATCCCAAACCGCTGGTTCAGCTGTTACAGAATGAGTAGAGCTATCATAACCAAAACCACTTGTGTTCGTACCATTTACCATATCATAAACAACTTGCCAATCTTTTTTCATGGTTTTGATCCTTGACTCAATGTGGGGTTTACCCAATATGCCAGAGTTGGGAATTTTTTCCTTCAATGCGTTTTCTAGATGTAGTAAATATCCATATTTAAAACCATTATCGGCTTTAAATCCTCCGATGTTCACCATATTTACCAATGTTTCCACGAGCTTGACATCTTCAGTAATTGTCCAGTTGCGATAGTTTCTGATTTTTTCCATCAAACCTACTATTTTTATAAAAATAATAATTAGATGAAACAATGCATGCTATAAAAAAAATACACAACCATATATATATATATATATATATATATATATATATATATATACATATATATATTACAAATATAACCAGTAAAAGTAAATTAAATCTCATTATTGAAAATAAAAAATATAGCACAAATTCATAGTAAATGATAAACATAACAAAAATAGAAATGATCAATGTGTAGTATTCCAACAATCAAACATATTTTGCGCTAAGTTGTTTCTAAATGTGGTCCACTCGGTTGATACACCAACATAAATATTATCATAATCTCCACCACCGACATCTCCAGTTCCCTCGTCTAGTTCAAAGTGGTTCTCAAACGGATCAGTTGTCATTTCCTACCTTATATAATTATGAAGAAGACAACATGCCATTATGATCTTATTTTTTAGATCAATAGGATAATATGAGTTGTCCCTTAAAATTCCCCATCTTGCCTTTAAAATACCAAAGCATCTTTCTATAACATTTCTTGCAGATGAATGCCTCATGTTGAATAATTCTTTAGGTGTAGTTGGTTGGTGTCCTGCACGCCATTCATTCAAATGATATCTTTGACCTCTATATGAGGCTAAGAAACCTTCACCATTTGTATAACCAGCATCTACCAAATAATAACCTATATATGTAGTAAAGTTAGCATAATTAATAACTAATATATATCTAAAATAACAATTATTATATGTACACGGCCTTGGGACCTTCAATCCATGTGGCCTAATTAAGGCATCTCGAAGCACTCTATCATCCGCAGCTGAGCCCTCCCATCCCGGTAAAACATAGATAAATTGCATATCTTGTGAACACACCCCTAGGACATTTGTGGCAATATCATTTTTTCTTGTCTTATACTTAGGCTTATCTTTAAGTGGCACTAAGCACTTTATGTGTGTTCCATCTAAAGCTCCTAGATAGTTCTACATAATATAAGATAAGAAATGGTCATATGTCATATCAAGCAATTTATGTAGCACTCGAAATTTTTTATAAGTCTAATATAATACCTTGAACCACTTCCATCTTTGATCTGTAGAGTTTTCTGTAACAGGTTCGGGTTTCTTAAACAAATGTGGATGCAACCTTATCACCGCGTTGCAAACTCGCGAAACAATTTTGCTAATTGTTTCTCCAGAACGCTGGAAACGACCTATCATGACTCGATTCTTCACATTATGTGCGATAATGTGAAGAAATATGGTCACTTGTTCATTAATATCCATATGTCTACTTGTTCTTAACCCACCTAATGTATGAAGCATGTCACACAACTTTGTGAAACATCTTCGGGTCATCCTGAGATTTGATATGCACGTAGTGTCACTTTTGTAAGCGTATTTGTACATTATTGATTGCCGATCCACATCCGACGATATGTTTTTTATACGTGGTTTACCTCCTCTGTATATTTGTAGTAGCTTGCACACCGTGATAAAAAACCATGTAATACTAGTCATAACTTCATTCCAAAATGTAACGACTATTTGACTTATCTTTTTTCTATGTTTGTTTCTAGTTAGACTAAGTCGTGTCATTTCCTGCTCATCTCCTAAAAAAAGGAAAATTTTACAATTTAAAGACATAATAGTTGACATTGTTGTGGATTTTAATCATCAACAAATTTGAGTATTAGTGGAAATTTGTTGGTACAAGTAATTTTGTAAAGAAAGCAATTAAATAGTAGTTTCAAAAAAGCAATATTATCAAATATATTTTGATATGAAAGTGAACTAACCTAATTAAGAGACTCCAAAACTCTCAACAGTTGGCATTATAAAATGATAAAGCTTATGTTTTATATCCAATGTAATACATATAAGGGGGTGGGTCTAAAATGAACCAATGAAACTATATTTCTTTAACAAGGTATTATACTCCAAAATGTTACAATGCATAAACAATTTTTGTGAGTATTTTGGTTTGTAGTTATGGCTTTTATCACAATCGTTGGATTTTTGTCTCATCTTTTCAAAGAAAACAAGCATAATGGCTAAAGGATTGAAAACAAAAAATCACGCTGAAAAAAAAAAAAACACCACACAAGCAAAAACACAAACACTTGGTGTGCATACCTATACCAACAACTAGTATATGTTATCAACGGTAAATTTCAACCACAAAATTAACAATTACTTTACTTGGAGGCTTAATTGCAGTTACAACACATAAAATAACACATAACTGAATTGTAGTAGGATGTCAACAAGGATAATCAAAGCATTGCAACAAATATTGAATCATTGTTATTGAAGCGGCAGAACAAATATCTAACATCCAACATGTGTTTAACAAACTATAACAAATTGAATAAAATATAAATAAAAAAGTTATTGTGACTTTAACATCTACGTACAAGTTAAAAAAAGTAGATTACAATGGTAAATCCAAGCTAGTAACATAGAGTCAAATGTAACAGAGAGTCAAAGTCTTAAAGACCATAATTCATAAGCTAATTAAGAAATTAATTATTTTATATTACTCAAAGATGAAGCAAAAACGTATAAAAAACTATACAAGAATGGTGAAGCAATGTTATTTGAAGAACTGTGGATGAATTCAACATTTTGCTTGACAATGAAAAGGATGAAACAAAGAATAGGAAGAACTAACCTCAGGTCAACAACGTATCAGATGCAGGCGCACAACAAAATCGATCGGCAATGAAATTGTATTGTAGAACCGATCAAGATATGTAGATATATTGAGATACGATAATTGGGGAAGAGATAATGACAATCGGTAGATTTTTTTTTTATTTTTATTTCAAACCCGTAAAGATAATAGGAGGATATAGAATTGAATATAGATTCTTGATATGCTGGGAAAGAATTAGAAATCAATCAACTACAGAATTAAAATATGATTATGGAAATCCGATTACATTTAATTGGTAAGCCAAACACGATGACTACAGGATTCTAGTTTCCATTTCCTTCGCTTTCCTTTGGAATCCCACAAAACAAATGCACCCTTAGTTTTTTTAACCAACAAAAAAATCTTCGGAACAGATATCCCTTTACTTTGTGGACCGAATCATGAAATCTAGAAATGCCAAATAACACTTAAAGATAATTTAATGATAAGTGATATGGTATTTTAATTTCAATTAATGCCAAATAACTCACATAATCCAACACCCAAGTGCCCAAACCTTATCAACACGTACGGAATGCCTCTTGATCTCTGGCGCCCAACTTGATTCACCAACGTCATGCTGTGTCATCCGTGAGGTGTCCATTACGTCACTACATAACGTGTACACGCATAAAAGTTACCATAAATTATGTATACTTCCCTTGGACTGTTGGACATATTTAGTATGTTTTTATCAACTAAAATTGTATATATTTGATCAGTTGTTATGTATACACATTAAAATATACGTGAAATCAAATATATAAGTTCTCACTTTAGAAAAGTGAATATATTTTGTATTTCTTTTTATTAACTCAAAAAGGCCTTGACTCTCTAAATGCCGAAGTAAAAGTTTCTTCATCTTTCTTTTGAGGAGCTCATAGAGACGAGCAAAGACTGTGTCGATTTTATGGTTGTTGATTAAAAATAGTTGCTATTTTGATTTTGATTTATTGGTTTTGATCAGTTTATTTGGTATTATATTAGGTTTCTTGAAGATGAAAGGGATTAGATATAAAGAATATAAATATATTTTTGACATTTTATATGGAAAACAAATTGTGTCAACTAGAGTGACGAAAATAGTCACAAATGTATATTGTAGAGTAAAGTTAAACGTTTTCACAAGATATCCGATTATAATTTATAACAAATTACAAAATTTATAGTTTTACCCTTTTTTGTGTATATATAGTTATAAATATCCGGTTATTGACACATAAACAAGCTTCTTTCATGCCAAATTAAGCATCATAAAGTTGCGTTAAAAAATGAACATCTCACTAGAACACCTACGTTTTAAAGGCTTTTACCTACTCCTTTTGACTGATAAAGTCAAAACCATATTTTAAATACTTAAGGGGCTTATGTTGGCTAAACTGGAAGTTGAAGGACGTTAAGTTCCTTTAACTGAAGTCCAAGGGGCTCTAAGTATGTACAGTACTCAACCAAACGTGGAGACGAAGCTAATGAATGAGTGAGTCCGCTCACTCTCGAGTCCACGGCCTTTATATAACACTCGCACCAATCCCTTCTTTCCTCAAACATTCAAATTCTAACAAAATTTCTTTCAAATTTCTCCCAAATTCGATTTCATTGCTAGATGTTTTTCACAAGCTCTGTAGAAATGGAGCCTGCATCATCATCATCATCATCATCATCATCATACTACAAACACCCGAACAGATCGAAGAAGAAGACGATGATTCCACCGAGGCGAGGAGAAATCAAGCGGAAGATCGTCGGCCAAATTGTGAATTCAGCTGTTTCTGTTGCTTCGAAGGCGACGAACATGTTGATGAAGAACAAAGGAGGGAAAAAAGGAGGGGATGGTGGCTCACCATGTACGAGCTCACCTTTAACTCCTTCCGACTGTGGCGTGATTTCAGACGGAGTTTCTGATTCCGGAAGATAACGAATTGACGATCGATCTTACTAGTGGAGTCCGATTTCAATCCGGTATGCATCGGATTGCTGGATTACTTTTTCTTTTATACTTTTATATTTGTTCTATTCATGTTTTTGTTTGTTATAAGTTTATTTCTTTGTATGACTGATTTGATACTGCTTTGCCTTTACTGTAAATAAAATAGTTTGTGCAGTGTAATATTAGATCAATTCGATTTTGCCATCGACTATATCAGAATTCTGTAATTAGTTCGCAATAATTCACAATTTTACCGATTACAGAGAAACAGAGCAGTATAAAACTTGATCCATGCTTATTCTTCGAAATAATTTTACGATTTCTTGTAGGTTCCATTTTTTCTTTGTGATGAATTCGTTAGAACTTCATTGTGTCGTTCGTCGGGTTCTTTTTGACTCAAGACTTTATGTACTTCGATAACCCCCTTTTGTTTGGCTTTTAGAGACATGACAAAACAAGCGACTTTATCTTTATGTTGAGGTGAGGTCAAATGCTTTTCTGAAAAAACGTCATCTGATATGCTAGATGCCTTCAGGTCAAAGGTCAAAGGGCTTTTCCGGAAAATGACGGTTTGAATACAACAAAATTAAGAAACTGAATTGTTTATGTACATATATAATAGGTTCTTGCTTAATCTTGAGCGATTTAAAAAATTATTGCGAATAATTTTATATCAGCCTTATATTTTTCGAAATTAAGAAGATTTTAGTTTTTATTTGTATCACACTCGAAAGATTATTTGTATAATAAGATTAAAACATAACAAAACACAACATTTAATATCACCAAATAGTTCTTATATGATTATTAATTTAAAGCATGAATATTAAAAGACATATATTCGGACAAAGTCAACAAACACTTTGGCTGTTTGGCAGAGCAATCTACAGTTTACGTACATGTATTTGGACAAAATTAACAAATACCTGGTGGCATAAGTTTTTACATCAATAAAAAAAACACAAGATTACAAAATAGCCCTTAAGTTGTTTAATTTTTTGGGACTTTACTTTAAGTTGGTATTTTTGACGATGATACTCAAATTTTGCCCAATTTTTTTCAAGCCTATTTACGGTTATCCAGTGATGTGTGTTGACTTGGATTCTTTATTTTGATATTATTGAGTATGAGCCTATGAGGCATAGATTTATTCATTCTCATCTAGATTTAATATTATTTTTTTATTTTTTTATTTGCAAAGTCAAATAAGACAACAAATATGATTGACTACCAATACCGTCTAGGTACGATCATACACTTACATCTATTTGATTTTAACAAGAGCCTGGCCGATGTCACACTCCAACTGTTAGAGAAACAAATTCCAATCTTGAGTATATGTGTCCCTCATAAGTTTCATGTTACTCCTAATATCATCCTTTATAACTACCTTCTTCATAATGAAAATTTTTCATTTTTATAAGATCTTCATGATTCTTATTCAAAAGGTCCAACAATGTATATATATTAGACCTTGTGAGTAGGGATGTCAAAAAACCCCGTGGGATCGCGATCCCGTACGGGACTAAATTTTTTAAAAAAACCGGGAGCTGGAGCGGGAGCGGGGGTAGAATTAAACCCCGCTTATTTTCGAGATCGGGGTCGGGAGTTGGTATTTCCGTCTCGTACTCCCGCGGGGGCCCCCGTTGTACAATTATGTAAAAAAATATATATTTGATATAAAATACATATACAAAATAGATTTTCTAATTTTAAGTGTATGTTAGGTTTCAC